TTCTCCTAGTCTACTGTTGAAACTTTCCATGGTGATTTTTATTGCAGCTATATCACTCTTTATTTATTCTTGATTCTTACATAAGTTATTGATTTTTTCATCCATTTCTTCTTGATTCTTACATAAGTTGTTGATTTTTTTTCCTCCAACCGGTTTATGCACTGTAGGACCCTTATTCTGAATTCTTTTTCTGACATATTGCATGCCTCTGTTTCACTTAGCCACTTTTCTGGAGATTCCTTTTTTTTTTTTTTCCTTTGGGGGTTTCTTTGTCTACCCATTTTTGGTCTCACCAACTGATCTAGATGTCGAGTCGTGCAGGGGCTGCTCCTTGGGTGGCAGTGGTTCCTTGGGCTGCAGCTGCCCCTCAAGTGGTCACAGTAGTGGCTGTTCCTCAGTTGGCAGTGGCTCCTCTTGGTGGGTGCTGTTTGCAGCAGTGGTGTCTCCTGTGGCTGGTAGGTGAGGCTGCTCACCCGGCTGTTGTTCCTTGGACAGGGGTGGGCTGATCATGAGGCTGCTGCTCTTTAGGAGGGGACAGGCTGAGCATGGCTACTTCTCCTTGGACAGGAGCGGGCTGTTCACATGGCTTCTGCTCCTCGGTTGGGCGCAGACTGCTCACGTAGCTGGTGCTCCTTGGATCGGGGCTGGCTGCATGCTGCTGCTGTTCCTCAGATGGGGCGGGCTGCTCGTAAGGCTGCAGCTCTTTGGACAGGGGCAGGTTGCTTACAGGGCTACTGCTCTTTGTACGGGTGCAGGCTGCTCGCGCAGCTGCTCCTCCTCAGATGGGGGATGGGCTGCTTGCATGGCTCCTGTTCCTCAGGCAGGAATGAGCTGCACATGAGGCTGCTGCTCCTCAGATGGGAGTGGGATGCTCACCCAGCTGCTGCTCGTCGGACAGGTGCAGACTGTGTGTGGCTGCTGCTCCTTGGACCAGTGTGGGCTGCACAGGGTTGCCGCTCCTCAGATGTGGTCGGTCTGTCTGTTCGTATGGCTGCTACTCCTCAGACAGGGGCAAGCTGCTCGGGCAGCTGATGCTCCTTGGGCCGGAGTGAGCTGCATGTGTGGCTGCTGCTCCTCGTACGGGGGCTGTCTGCTTGCGTGGCTGCTGCTCCTCAGATGGGGGATGGGCTGCTCGCATGGCTGCTTCTCTTTGGGCAGGAGTGAGCTGCACGTGTGTCTGCTGCTCCTTGAATGGAGGCAGGCTGCTCACCCAGCTGCTGCTTGTTGGACAGGTGCAGGCTGCATGTGTCTGCTGCTCCTCAGACCAGTGTGGACTGCGCAGGGCTGCTGCTCCTCAGACGTGGGTGGTCTGCTCGTGTGGCTGCTGCTTCTTGGACTGGGGGAGGCTGCTTGGGTGGCTACTGCTCTTTGAATGGGAGCAGGCTGCTTGTGGTGATGCTGTTCCTCATATGGGTATGGGCTGCTCACACTGCTGCTGCTCCTCGTATGGGGGCAGGCTGCTCGTGCAGCTGCTGCTCCTTGGATGGGGGAAGGTTTCTCACACACCTACTGCTCTTCAGACAGGATGAGAGTGTGGGCTGCGCAGTTGCTGCTCCTCAGATGGGGGCGGGCTGCGTGGGGCTGCCGCTCCTCAATCATGGGCAGGCTGCTCGTGTGGCTGCTGCTCCTCAGATGGGGCAGGCTGCTCACTTGGTTGCTGCTCCTTGGACAAGGGAGCAGGCCACTCACACAGCTGACCGCTGCTGCTCCTTGGACAGGGAAGGCCACATGAGGCTTCTGCTCTTAGGCCTGGGCAGGCTGCTCATGGGGCTGCTGCTCCTTGGACAGGAGTGGGCTGCTCACGTGTCTGCTGCTTGCTTGGTTGCAGTGTCCCGGGCTAAGGCTTTGGTCTGGTCAGAGGGGAGCATGATTCAAAACTCACAGGAGCCTGTGCCCAGGGTGGCTGGAGCCTTGTTGACTGTTGGATCACAGCCAAGGTAGCAGGTCCCTGGCAGGGGTGTCTGTAGAGTCCCAGGTGTTATCTGAGGGCACCCTGGGTGGGGGTAAGGCCTGGCTCCCAGTTACAACAGCTCTCCCCTTAAAAATGCTAGGCTTTTTGGGATGAGCCGGCATCCTGGAACTGCTTACATGGTAGCAGAGGCTGCCTAGTTAGGCAAGCCTGTTTAGCCTGACCCGAAGGCCCTGCTGGATCTATTTGTGCCTCACTCTCATACACACACACACATCCCACATGACCACAAACTCCTCTTTTGGTCCCTCACTGATTCACGCTCTCTCCCTCACTGCCGCCTTCTTCCTGCCTCTGTAGTTGGGTCTGGGGTGTTATTGACCCATTTGTGGATGGAGTTTCCTCTCCAGGTGTCTGGTTATGAGGCTCACTCTCTAGCACCTGGCCAGACAGGATAAAATTCACCTCGACAAGAC